GTGCGCATGATATGCATGCGATACTAGAAAAGCAAACTGTGCATAATTAGGTGTAATCTTGATAATTGAGATGTGTATATATACGTGTGTTTTACGTAAATGATCCAATTCTGGTTTTAATACACTAGCTACATAAATGCAAGGGAAACCCAACCCGACCCGAGTAACAATTGTAATTGTGTGAAAACAGAAAAATCAAAGAAATATATAGTTGAAAGTTTGAACTATTAAATCGGACAAAGGAAATAATAAGAAAACTCCTTGCCCTTAAACATACATCTATGTGAATCTCAAATTAGCATATTGGTCACTCGACTATGATGTAGAAATATCCAGGTACAACAACTCTTCCGTCAGGCGTCACATGTAGGCGGCCTACACTGAATTATCATTAAAGGAGAATTAACCTTTTATAAAGCAGATTGCTTGGACAAATGGAGAAAAATCAAAGAAGCACATTAGTGAAGGTTTGAGAAAAATCGGATAAATAATAAGCTCAGATCGCACAGTGGGCACTAGGCTTTAGAAGTTTTGAATTATTATCAATAAAACGTGTCAATTAAAAAAAAAAAAAACCTAGTAGGCCTACATGTAGATCATATGAGGAACCTGGGAAATGAAGAGAGCTTGAAAATATCAGTATAGGGGTAAGATACAGATCCGCTTCTAGGATTTACGGTGAATGGGGGGGGGGGGGGTATAGGCATACACATTTCTGACCCACCTTCAATTCAATCAATAGGCATAAAGTAGGATAACATAGTTTTCACTAAACTGTCGCATTCATTTTAGCAATGTTTTCATGCATTCAAGTGATTGCGATCGATTGCGTTCGCAAGTGCACGCATAATTATGCGCGCGGTCAACTGTGATGTGAATATATTTCACTTTAAAAGTCCCCCCAAAAGACCCGCCGCAACTCTAAATAATTTTTTTAAAAAGAGATAACGTCTAATATATTTTTTCGCCACCGATTAGTTTTTACTTTGAGATTCCCGCCGTAACTTAAATCATCTTTTAAAAAATAGAAAATATTGCGTCATAAAAGATAACAAGTCCGCCAATTTGATTTTGGTTTAGAGAGTTCGAAAAGGATCCACCTTCAATTTAATCAACTAGCCTAAAGAAAGATAACATAGTTTTCACTAAACTGTCGCATTCAATTTTAGCAATGTGTGCATGCATTAAAGTGATTGCGATCGATTGCGTTCGCAAGTGCACGCATATGCACGCGATCAACGTACTGTGACGTGAATATATATATATATATATATTCCACTTTAAAAGTCCCCCCAAAGACCCGCCGCAACTTAAATCATCTTTTAAAAAATAGAAAATATTGCGTCATAAAAGATAATAAGTCCGCCCATTCGATTTTGGTTTAGAGAGTTCGAAAAGGATCCACCTTCAATTTAATACAAAATAGGGCATGGGTGTCGATCCCGGGGGGTGGGGGTGGGGGGGATATATTCCCCCCCCCCCCCATATTTCAGGTGGGGGTGGCCTGTACATTACCATAAAAAAAGCCCGATGAGAGTAGTTAACGGTTATTACTCGCAAGATGACCATCAATATACACATTTTGCTATCTCATTTTCATGATACATACGCAAATAAGACAACCGTATATGAGACAAGAATAAATTGAATTCTCGCTCATACGGCTTCATCAGGAATTGATGAATTTATTCAATCTAAAAGCTAAATGTTAAGCGCGAAGCGCAAAAGTGCAAAAAAAGAAGTAGAGAGTAGGAATAAGAAACAGAGAGGATACAGGCGCGTAGCCATGGGGGTGTGTGGCGGTGGGGGCAGTCGCCCGCCCCCCCCCCCCAAAAAAAAAAAAGAGAGAGAGAGAGAGAGAGAGAAAGAGAGAGAAAGAAGAAAGGAAGAGGACGTAAGAAGAAAAAGGATTAAGAGTCGAGAACGGTACAACGAATCGTCTTCTTTCTCTAATAATTTAATGAAACGTCAAAGCTTCCGCGTTTCGCCCGGGAACGGGGGGGGGGGGGGGAGGAACTGAATTAAGACATGGAGTAAGGGTCGACAATGGTACAACGAAACGTCTTCTTTCTTCAATAATTGAATGAAACGTCAGAGTTTCCGTGCTATGCGCGGAGGAATTGGAACTTGATTCATACAAGGATTAAGAGTCGAAAACGGTACAACGAATCGCCTTCTTTCTCTAATAATTGAACGAAACATCAAAGCTTCCGCGCTTTGTGCGGCTGGGGGGGGGGGGAACTGAATTCAGTCAAGGATAAAGAGTCGAGAATGGTACAACGAAACATCTTCTTTCTCTAATAATTTAACGAAACGCCAAAGCTTCCGCGCTTTGCACGGGAAGGAGGGTGGGGGGGGGGGGGGACTGAATGGTACAACGAAACGTCTTCTCTCTTTAATAATTTAATGAAACGCCAAAGGAAACTGAATTTAGACAAGGATTAAGAGTCGGGAACGGTACAACGAATCGCCTTCTTTCTCTATTAGTGAAACGTCAAAGCTTTCGCGTTTCGCGCGGGAAGGGGTGGGGGGGGGGGAGGAACTGAATTCATACATTGAGTAAGAGTCGAGAATGGTACAACTAAACGTCTTCTTTCTTTAATAATTTAATGAAACTTCAGAGTTTCCGCGCTATATGCGCGGAGGAATTGGAACTTGATTCAAACAAGGATTAAGAGCCGAAAACGGTACAACGAATCGCCTTCTTTCTCTTATAATTTAATGAAATATCAAAGCTTCCGCGCTTCGCGCGTGAAGGGGGGGGGGGGGACTGAATTCAGACAAGGATTAAGAGTCGAGAATGGTACAACGAATCGTCTTCTTTCTTTAATAATTTAATGAAACGTCAAAAGAAACTGAATCTAGACAAGGATTAAGAGTCGAGAATGGTACAACGAATCGTCTTCTTTCTTTAACAATTTAATGAAACGTCAGAGCTTCCGCGCTACGCGGTAAGATACAGATCCGCTACTAGTATTTCATGTGAATGGGGGGTATAGAAATACAATTTTTTGACCCACCTTCAATTCAATCAATAGGAATAAAGTAGAATAACATAGTTTTTACTTAACTGTCGCATTCAATTTTAGCAATGTTTTCATGCATTAAGGTGATTACGATCAATTGCGTTCGCAAGCGCACGCATATGCGCGCGATCAACTGTGATGTGAATATATTTCACTTTAAAAGTCCCCCAAAAGACCCGCCGCAACTCTAAATAATTTGTTGAAAAAGAGAAAATATTGCGTCATATAAGATAATAAGTCCGCCAATTTGATTTTGGTTTAGAGAGTTTGAAAAGGATCCACCTTCAATTTAATCAACATGCCTAAAGAAAGATAACATAGTTTTCACTAAACTGTCGCATTCAATTTTAGCAATGTTTTCATGCATTAAAGTGATTGCGATCGATTGTGTTCGGAAGTGCGCGCAGTCAACTGTGAGGTGAATAGATTTCACTTTAAAAGTTTCCCAAAAGACCTGCCGCAACTTAATCATTTTTTGAAAAAGAGATAACGTCTAATATATTTTTTCTCCGCCGATTAGTTATCAGTTTGAGGTTCCCCCGCAACTTAAATCATCTTTTGAAAAATAGATAAATATTGCGTTTTATAAGATAGCAAGTCCACCGATTAATTTGGTTTAGCGAATTCAAAAAGGATCCACTTACAATTTAATCAATATGCCTAAAGAAAGATAACATAGATTTCACTAAACTGTCGCATTCAATTTTAGCAATGTTTTCAGTGCATTAAAGTTAGTGATTGCGATCGATTGCGATCGCAAGTGCACGCATATGCGCGCGATCAACTGCCACGTGAATAGTTTTCACTTTAAAATTCCCCAAAAGACCCACCGTAACTTGAATCTTTTTTCCAAAAAAAAGAGACAAATATTGCGTCATAAAAGATAACAAGTCAGCCGATTCGATTTTGGTTTAGAGAGTTCGAAAAGGTTCCGCCTTCAATTTAATAAAAAATAGAGTGATATTGTCTAACATATTTTTTCGTAACCGACTAGTTTTCACTTTCATATTCCCGCCGCAACTTAAATCATCTTATGAAAAATAGAAAGGTATTGCGTCTGATAAGATAACAAGTCCACCAATTTGATTTTGGTTCAGAGAGTTCGAAAAGGATCCACCTTCAATTTAATCAACTAGCCTAAAGAAAGATAACATAGTATTCACTTAAGTGCCGCATTCAATTTAGCAATTCCATGCATTAAAGTGATTGCGAACCGCCTTAAATTCAATCGAAATTGAAAGATAACGTCTAATATATTTTTTCACCGCCGATTAGTTATCACTTTGAGGTTCCCGCCGCAACTTAAATCGTCTTTTGAAAAAATAGATAAATATTGCGTCTCATAAGATAACAAGTCTACCGATTTAATTTTGGTTTAGCGAATTCAAAAGTCATCCGCCTTCAATTTAGTCAAAAAATGAACGTCTAATATATTTTTTCCCCGCCGATTAGATTTCACTTTGAGATTCCCGCCGCAACATTATGCGTAAGTAGCAACAATAACTGACAAAAATAAAAAAGCAAACTATCGCCAACAGAGGGCGACATTTCATACGGACGGACTGCATTACATTTTAGCAATGTTTTCCACGCACTAAGCTGATCGCGATCAATCGCGTTCGCGCGCAAGTGCACGCGTATGCGCGCGATCCACTGTGACGTTGATCGCAGGCGGAACTGTATCTCGGAAAGTCTTCAGTTGAGGGAAAAGTGAGATAATGACTTCACCATATGGGGGAATGTAAAGCATTATATAAGGCCTGTCAGTCATAATACTGAAGGCTAATCCTGGTGATTGACAATACCTGTTATTGGGTAAACACTGGAACATTTTTTGCAATGCACATTTTTTTGGCAACATACATGTAAACCTTAACAAAAAATTTAATGATTAATGAAGGTAGAGATAAATCTTATCCTATTACACCAAATCAAAATAATCTGTCATTTTCCTTTTCATGTTCATTCCTACAGAGTTATCCTTGATCACACTGCATTGGTTTTTGACTGCGTTTGCCAGTGTAGTTCATATGAAGGTGCTACTGAGAGTCTGGGATATGTTCTTCTTCGATGGATCTATCGTACTCTTCCAGATCACACTTGCCATGTTCAAAATGAAGGTAAGGGCTGCTTTCTTAGGGTTGGATGGATGTTGACTTTCAATGATATTGCTCCATAGATGTAAAATCATGTGTATTCCACTGGCATAATGGGAAAAAGGTTAATGTTACACTTTATTATTTCACCAAAAGTTGACATTTTCAAGGAATTACCCTATTGTAAATCCAGAAACGTTTGTAAAATGAAAGATTTGCAAACAGTTCATGACAGCCGTTTTGATGGCAATTTTTTTAGAATAAATTCCTATTTTGTTGTTGTGAAAAATGAAACTTTTGTGTTTCTTGACCACTTAGAAAATTTGTGAAGTATCAAGGCATTTGCACATTTTCCTGTTTTAAGGCAGATTTTGAAGAGTGGGATCAATGTGGGATAGTGGTTTGTACATAAGACTTTCAGTCAGGAGGTCCTAGGTTTGAATCCTGTCCTGTTGTGTGTTCCTGTAGGCAAGGTATTTCATGTACATACAGTACCATTCTTTCTACAGGGGTTTAGTCATTGCTGAAGGACTTGAAATTTCTTGTGAATGAAATGAAATGTAGATGGCATTTACCAGAGTGAATTCCATAATAAAAGTGTCAAAAGGGAAATCCAACCTCGATAGCACAATACTTGTAGAAAGCAGAAAAATCAGAGAAGCAAACTGATGAAAGTTTGAATGAAATCAGAAAAAAATAAGAAAGTTATGAATTGTTTAAACTTATAATCACTATATGCGCAGGAACTTAAAATGGGCTGAATTGGTAATGTCACTGTGATGTAGTGCCGGACAACTTTCCCATTTGTTCCTACACATAAAATGACTAAAATTTCATTTCAAATTGGTTGAATTGGTAATGTCACTGTAATGAAGTGATGGACAACTTTCCCATTCGTTCCAACACAAATGGATGACTCGGGAGTGTCTTTTCTCTTTAGAGGACCTACAATAATTATATACTATCCATAATATTTGTTTGTTTGATAGGAGGAGGAGCTGTTATCGTTGGATAATTCGGCTCAGATCTTCAATGCCTTGTCAGACCTGCCAGGAGTAGTGGATGATATGGATAAACTTGTAAAGGTAAGACACTCACATTCATGCACACTCATCTCTTATGCTCTTTATAAAACTAAGAGCTCTAATCTTTATTCTTAACGTTTATGTTGTTTATTGTTGTAAGTTAAAAGTTTGTCCCATATGTCACCAAGTATTATTCAATTATGTTATGGAATTTTTTAACATAAATAAAATTTAAAAATATATATATATATTTTTTATTAGATGTTTTCGTCTTATTCAAGCTCTAGTAGGGCTATCTGCTTGATACAGACATCAGATATACTGAAATCTTAGGCGTGATTGCAGTATGGGACAAAATAGCTGGGACTCACTTTGATTTAATTCAAACTTCTCATTGTTAATCTTATTCTGTTAATGTATTTATATTTTTCTCTGTCTTATTAGTATTGTTTATTCATTTCAATTATGTTATTCGATTTGTAATTTGTATCTTTAGTATATTGCAGCCAGAAGTATTTTTGTATTATTATAATTATTAATATAATTATTTATATTCTATGTAAATAATGTTCTTGTATTATAATCATTATACAATAACATGGGATATTGTAATGAACAACATTTTTACAACATTTTTATTACCATCAAAATCATTCTTTCATTGCTCTCTTTTGCTGCTTTAACACTCATGTGTCTTTATTTATACATTCTCATCAGACACTGTTCACATATCTATCTGGAACTGAAAAGGCATTAACTCTGATATTTAGGATATTACTGTGATTATGAATATTCCCATTTAAAAGCAAATTATTTACCAAATGTAACAAACAAAAATGTTTATAATACATGCATTCATGTAGTTGTACAATTTGTTTGCGTGTACATGTAGGTCGTTACATCACTTTCATTGTGCAAGGTCCCATGTAAAGGCTTGTCGTACTGTTTACTTATACCATAACAAACTACATTCTCTCGTTGCCATGGTGATATTCTGATGACGTACATTTATTACTTCCTGCTCATTTACATATGAAAGGAGTACAACACCCTAGAGTGACAACAGAATCACCAGCTGTCTATATTTATACAGTGTTATCAATATAGCTGGGGTTTTTACACTTGACTGATTTTGAATACTCTGTATGTAAATCAATTAACCCTACAACCCTACATAAGGCTTGTCGTCATCAGCTCGAGTTTGCCAAATAACCTGCTATTTTCAGACTCTTGATATTATCCCAAAGCTCAAAATTGCGTCTTCACCAGACCGATACGCTCATCATATAGTAGCTCGGACTAGTGAAAATTAGCCCGCTATTTCCCAAATAGCGGGATACTTTGGAAACAAGGCCAAAATTTCTCAGGATATTTTCTCGACCAAATATCCCGCTAATTGCAACTGCAGGCTGATGGGGGATAGTTGAAATCGCGGGTTATTTTGTAAACTTAGCTAATGCAACAAAGTGTTATAATTAGTCCTTTGTCTTAGATAACTGGTATCAGTCTGTTAACACGGTAATCTCTAAAGCAGCTTATGTCAGATGAGAGAAAAAATGTATTTGAGAACCCTGTAGTGATCTAATGTTACAATCTGAAATTCTCTTAAAAGACTTTAATTCCAAATCACCATGTATTAAAGTGCATTATTTTATTTTTATCTACTAAAAGAAAATGAAGAAGAAAAACAAAAATCATATTTCAGTTGCTTGGATCATGACTAGGCTATAGAGTGTCAAAAAGTGCAGCCAGATGCTAGCTTGCCGGAATTAATTTTAGATCAAAGTGTTATGGTGTTGGACCATTCCATTAAGACATGAGGGGGGTAATTCCTCTTCATATACCAGTCCTTTAAAAAAAAAATTGGATTGTAGATTAACTGATAGTATTTATTTCATATTTTTATCTCTCAAAAAGTGAAACAGAAATAGGCCTACATATATGAGCTTCATTCCAAATTATAACCCAATATATATTTATTTTTCTAATTTTTCTAATGAATAAAGTAATAAAACTGTATCGTGTTGTTTGTGAAATAACTTCAGTACTTAGTCTTTATTTAAATCAAAAGTGGGATACAAAGTGTCACATTTTGTGTCACAATTCTGAAAGAATACTGACATATTGACATACACATACTGTAGTTCACCTAGATCTATGGATAGAAAAGAAATAAAATTAATTTTCTGATATATTTGTACAAGTTGATATCAACATAGCACTGTAATGCCATACATTACACGTACATGTACAACATGATTTGAGGCTAACATTTTCATGATTGTTTATGTCAATATATATATGCTCAGCGGTACTACATGTTCTTAGGGTACATGTATATGCCCAGAGGTACCAAATGTGATGCAGGCTTAATACATGTACATATTTGCTGTTATATATTTAGAGGTAGCATGAGTGATGGAGCTTACAAAATAATCAGATCCTATAAGTGGACTCCACACTAGAAGGTCATTATCCCAGAGGAATTATTTACAATGTCAACATTGGGGTTTGGGTGATATTAGCGTAGCCTCTATGTGGCATTGTCTTCTAAATGTCACCGCATATTTTAATATCAATCTTTCTGCCTTGATGTATTTGCTTTACCTCCCTCTTTCAATAATATTACCAAACCATGCAAATTCAAATACGTGGACTGGTTACCATATCTTATGATAATGAGTGTAATATACTCTGTACAGTTTGAATATTAAGAAGGGATTATATCTTTTCCAAAGCTGACCAAGATAAAAAAGGAAGGGGCTGATTTACCAAGTTCCATGTAAGTGCGAATACTTATTGTCAGAGGCTAATAGATTTTTTTAAAATTATTGTCGACTGCATTATTAAGAAGATATGTCTAGTACATTATGAGCTTTGTTTATTATATTTGCACATTATTTTTGTTTGAAATACTTGTACCTGTACTTTCATTTAATCGTTTAATTCTGTAAATAAGATAAGGGTGGTTAGATAAATATAATACCAACAAAAATAATTCAAAACATGCCAGTTCTGGTCGATTACTACGTGTTGAAACCAATTTCATCCCCCACCCCTCCAACATCAACCGGATGTAGACTTAAGGTATTATGGAATAACATCTATATTTATGCAAATAAGGGAGACACGTGTCATAGGCCATTCCACTCATCACTCCTGCCTGTAGGCTGGCGGAAGTTCCATTGCTTTGAATCAGTGATGGGAATGAAAACAGCTGGCAAACATTTGATCAGTTTACTAATTCTCCTATTAGTAGATCCACTTACATTCTTTTGTTGGGCCGTGGTAGTAAGGGTCAATGTCGGGATGAAGGATTGGTAATTCAGATTGCAGACTGTGGATGGATTTTATAATTATTTGGAATAAATCATGGTGAACTCTAACATGGACAGCTCCAATAGACTTTTAGCTGCCCTCCAAAATAACAAGGTAGAATATAATCTAAATTTTTTGACAAAATTAATACACCTGTTGAAATATTGGATTTCACCGGGCTAATCTACATGTAGGCGATACAGATCTTGCATACAGTTCACACACCTAATATGTCTGTTAATTGATTAACATGTTTGTGAATAGTGTGCATTGCCAGTACTAAATATGACATGTTTCTGCTCCAACGTTACATCTCCTCGATAGTCGGCAGTAAGGATACTTTTAAATGTCGAAGATCAGGTGTGTATTGGACCTGAATGTTTTAATTGTACGGTGAGTCAAGGAATTCATGTCATCAAATCTATTTTAGAATGAGCACTTTTATTCTTGGGGTTAGATATGGTATAGTTATTCACCATTGCTTTTGATTTGTCTTCCTAGATATTTGAAATTCTATTAAGTTTATTCATTCCCTGCCACTTTTTTGTTGTAGTTTACATGTAGAACCATGTAAAGTGGAGACTGTTTCCTGATCTGTCAGCATATAAAGCATGCATTATGACTGGCATTTTTTAATGATATATGGGTAGTAAAAACCAAAGAAAGGTGGGAAGGGGGAGGGGCTTGATTATTGAATACAAGCCTTTTCCATCACTTTGGGAAAACTTAAAATGCACAATGTAATACTTGTGCAGGTGAGAAGTCCAGGTTTGAAATAATTTTTAGATTAGAAGAGAACTTATGAATACAATATTGCAGTCATTGGTTGATATTGATCAAAGAAATTGTAGTTACTTTAGATTTATAGCCAGCAAAAAATGACAAAATTGCAATAACTAAAAATACATTAAATGTTGCTTTCCAGTGTAATTACTGAACTGTTCCTGTCATTGTTTTTGCTAAAAAATCTCTCGTGAATTAACAGGCTTGCCTGCATTATCTGTACCCTGTTTGTGTGATCTTGGGAAATATAAGGTTGCTTTATGTTTATTTCAGATACAATATTGACATGTATGTATGGTATTATAATGTAAAAGCATACAAAACTAGTAAAGTGAATTATGTTGTGGACTTGAGGTTAGTGTGGAATATAGTGCCTCTGTGGCTTAATATTAATAGAAATTGAAATGCTCTGAATCTGTGCTTTAAATTACATAATATTTTGAAACAGTTTATATCAAATTGTACTTGTTGAGGAGAGATGGTGAACATCATGTGCTGAAAGCCAGAAGATGATTAAGTCTGCATATTATATGAGTCGATCCTCTTCTGGCTCTTCTCAGCATATATATTATTTGCTGATATTGATTTTCAGATAACTGGACATTAAAATAAAGATATATAAAATGTATTTCTTTTTAAAAACAAATTAAAATATTTATCAAAGACCCATGTCAAAGGATAATTGTGGGGAATGATTGATTTTCCTCATTCAAACACACTTATATGTAGACCTTTATAGGACACATGAACATTTATGTAGATATACATGTACAGGTTTGCTCGCTATAGTAACATGCAGTGTAAAACATTACTACTTTTACACATCGAGCTTCTAGGATATTTTTTATATTTGGTTATACACAGGTACATGTGAATGTTTATTTATGTTTTTTTTTATTGTGTTGTTTGTCAGTCTTGTTTCTGTTATGCCTTCTTTCACAGATGGTTGACTGATTTCTTCAGCTTTATCTCTTACCTTTCCTGAATCTTATTTTCTAAAGATTCTAAAGATTCTTTTTCTTTCAATTATATGCACTTTTCAGTAATACAGCCCTATGGAACTATCCTTTCTGGTTTACATGTACCTGCGTCTAGACCTGCATTTTTAGACATTTTCTCTTTTCAATGTAGCGAATGAAGACTTTCTTTTTTCTTCCTCTCTTTTATTCTCTTTTTGTCTACATGATCTTTTGCTACATATATCTTCTCTACTTGGACAATAATCAATAACACTTTCACAGAAATATGAGGTGTGTATTTTACTCTGTATTCCATCAGCTTTTACTGAGAAATCATTTCTTTGTTTCTCATTTAGGCTACCATTTCACCCTTCATTTAGAATAGACCTCAATGGAGCATGTCTCTACCCTTTCATGTATATTGGTAGATTAACAATATTTAGGTATTTTTGAGTGATATAATGGAGTTCCCCGGGCATGGTGATGGTGTACTTACAATATAATTTCTACTCATTTTGAAATCTTAACCTACTGTACTTGTGCTTGATTTTTCCATGCATCAAAATATGTGTCTCTTTCTGTAACTGCTTTGTTTGAAGAAAAGAAAACAAATTGATTTTGTTATCATTACCTGGGTATTTAAAGAAAATGATACAGCATGTTGATTTACATTCCTGAAGTGCACCCACTGCTCATTTCAGAGTGATTTTAGAAAGGTTCATTTTGATTTTGATTTTAAAACAAATTTATATTCCAACCAAACAATATTTTGAGCCAAGCTTGTATCGTCAGTAAACAGTATGCATGGTTTTGTAAGGCTGGGAAAAGATACATGTACATACATGTACTGGTATGTATTGTCAATGTAGAAATGTTTGAATTAGTCATCATGTATGCCTGGAAACATACATGTACATATCGAAAGGTTAACATTCAAATAATAATCATCTGGGCCAGTATTCAATTCAATACTTAGCATAAGTAAGATATTTACTAAGTAAATGGCTAAGTTAAGTAATTGACTTATCTCGTATTCAAATCGCATTTTAGACTTATACTTACGTACATGTAAGACAAAATTTAAGTAAAATACTTACTGATAAGCATTGTGACGTCACACGGTCAATCAAAAGTAATGCGCAATTGATGCATTGCAATAAATGCGCGCTGATATAATTGTGCGCGGGATATAATACTGCGTAAGAAAACCATATGCCTGCCAATCAAGGCCACCAAATAATTGGCTTAAGTCTGGTATGCAGTTGGCTTAGATTGAAAGTAAAATACTTACACAAAAGTGTGAATTGAATACCAAAATTGGCTAAGTATTTTATGTAAGCCAAATACTAAGTAAAAAGCTTAAATTTTGTACTTAAGTATTGAATTGAATACGGGCCCAGTAGTGTGTTTAAAAAGAGAAATCAAGGATGTTGTCCTTTCCCCCTTTGTTTTCTATATCTGTATGATGAAAGAGAAATTATTCTTTTTCTTTTTTCTTTTTGGCTGCATACATGTACTAGTTTTCTGGACTGTGTATATTGGAATGAAAGACCAGAAACAATCATTTAAAGGTTGGAGGGGTGGGGAATAGGGGTAGGATGGTTGGAATGGGATTGGTAATACTTGCAATAATGAAATAATGTATGTGGCATTGGCTGTGAAGATTCCATTAATTCTTGTAGTTGTTTGCCCCTCCCCCCCCCCCCATCCCCTCTTGTAGTGGATACAAACATATCTCTAACATGTTGTTTGTATTTGGGAAAGAAAAACAGGCTTGCATGTCCTTCAATGTATCTTCATTGTGCATCTTGATTGCTTTTGAATGCCTTCAAATAATCCTTTCATAGCAACCATTAACCATATTCTAACATCTTATTGTTTCAATCTAGCTGTAAATGGGTTTATTAGAGTATTGTAATACATAGATATGACCAGTATGTGCAATGTCTTGTCCTTAGAGCCAATAAGGTATTCATTTTACATGCAATTGATGCCTTTCTGACCGCTTTTGATAGATGAGATGTAGACTAGACAAAATATTCATACCTCTCTAGACTCTAGTCAATTAGCAAAAGTTGGAAAGAGAAATGTTGAATGTTGGCTGTAGGATCGTGATCTACAGTAAATCAGCCTCACCATGCTATTACCAAAATGCATTTTGCTCTTGCAAAATATAAATAGGAATTGAGAAAGGGAGAAATAGTTGTACATGTATGTAAATTACCCAATCCTCTCCCAAAGCAAGTTTTGCATTGTTGTGATCCATGAAATGATTATCATCTCCTTTTCCTGATCCATCCATGAGCATGCAAATAACCCTATTGATCGATCCAGTCATGAATATATGATGACTATTTGATTTTAATGTAATGATCTACTGTTTATGTTTATGTGTAATTCCTTGCCCACAACACCAATCAACAACTTGGTCTCAATCTGTTATACTGTACATGTATATGATGTACAATCAGCAATGGTGTTTCAATACTTGATGGATCCAGTATGAGGATACATTCTGTACAGGTTGTAATCTACTGAAACCAAATATATACTTTGAAAGAGTGTTGATGACACCAGACCATAGTTAGGAAAGTCTTTCATATACAGGTAGGTCATTGGAAAAGTTGCCGTGTTTATACATACTTTCACCTCCATTCAATGGATAACTGAAGCTCTTCTTCCAAAAGTCCTGAATAAGACCTTCAAGCAACTATTGTGTATTATGTAATCTCTTTGATGGCAGACTTATTTAATTTAAGTCTACGGTAGTTAATACCGCTATACAGCTATACCATTTGAAGAAATCTTGTGCACTGACATGATTAATGGGAGTAAACTTTCATTTAATGTTATTTGTTGTCTATTACAGATTGGTATGCGCCACTCTGCCTCCCTGACAGACATCATTGTGGACACACACAGACGGAAACATCTAGCCTATCTCATGGCTGAACAAGGTGCTATCGTCAACCCAGAGTCCGCAGGAAACCTTCCAAAACAGGTAACAGTTCACCTTACCTCATTCATTGGTTCAGCTTAGAGGGCAGCAGACAGCTGTTAATTGGTGTTACCTTACCTCTGTCTTTGGTTCAGCACAGAGGGCAGCAGACAACTTTGATTAGTTAGTGTATTATTTTTGTAGTATCCTAGGTCACAAATGTTCAATCTATAATTGGCAGAAAACTTGCCAAAACAAACCACCTTACCTCAATCCTTGGGTCAGCTCAGAGGGCAGCAGACAACTTTTGATTAGTTAGCATATTAGTTTTGTAGTATCCTAGATCACAAATGTTCAATCTATAATTGGCAGAAAACTTGCCAAAACAAACCACCTTACCTCAATCCTTGGGTCAGCTCAGAGGGCAGCAGACAACTTTTGATTAGTTAGCATATTAGTTTTGTAGTATCCTAGGTCACAAATGTTCAATCTATAATTGGCAGAAAACTTGCCAAAACAAACCACCTTACCTCAATCCTTGGGTCAGCTCAGAGGGCAGCAGACAACTTTTGATTAGTTAGCGTATTAGTTTTGTAGTATCCTAGATCACAAATGTTCAACCCATAATTGGCAGAAAACTTGCCAAAACAGGTAACAGTTATCTCAATCTTTGGTTTAGCTCAGAGGGCAGCAGACATCTTTTGATTAGTTAGCGTATTAGTTTAGTAGTATTCAAGATCACACCGTGCAATCCAGACTCAGCAGAAAACCTCCCAAAACATATTACATTTAACTATTCTCACTCAAGGGTTTGGGCAGTATTCTAAAGGCTATTTTTTCTTCATTGTCGTCACAATTGACTAATTCCAGAGAATGAGCATATTTTATGAGTGTTTACCCACATTTCGATTAACTATGTGTTTACGCATGCAGTCACAAAAGTGTATGTGCAGTCATCAACTATTGACATATGATTCGGGATAGTTATGACATTTAAAATAACTCTTAGAATTAATGATATAATCATTTTAAGAATACATGTAACATCCTTGGTTCTCTCCAGGCTGTATGCTTGTGTTTGTTGGGAGCCTTTTTACTGTCAAACACTCATTACTGATTCTCTATAATGCCTTGGATGTACCATTTATATGTTATTTACTCAAGTCATAAAATACAACATAAATTCCCCTTTAATCACCTCGCTACTTCATACTTCCATTTGAAAGGAACTTTCCTTATTTATCAGTACAGCTGCAGGCCTTAAAATAAGTACTTAAATACCCATAAATTATGCCTTGCTATACTGTATCCTTGTATTTGAAAGGAACTCTCTTTTTCACTACCAGAGAGAGATCCATATCTGTGATTCATGTACCTTAGCAGTGACATTTGACCTTGTGTAGTATTGCTGGTACCTCTTCTAAGTTTTTCTGCTGCAAAATCAGCTTCAATGCAATGCAGTTTTCACATCAACATAAAATATATTTGTGTCTGTGCATTCGTTTCCAATGAATGAGCAATTGTAAACGAAGCAAATATGAATCCGTGCTGTACTTCTTGTGTTCAGGTTTGTATTCAGCTAATATTGAGATCATGGTATTTATTCTTGCCTTTTTTTTCTGCACAAACTGCCTCCGTGCCATTCAACTTGACTCTTTTACTGTTGTTGACATTATAAAGACTACTTATATGTTTACTCTGCTCTTTGCTTAGAGGAAACTCTCTAATCAGATTTTACTTTGTTCTCTTTTTGTTTCTGCAGCAAGTGAACAAACGTCAACTACAGAGGAGAAAATCTCTGATGGGGGCTCTATTCCGTAAGTAGAAAGGACAAATAATTGAAGCAATTCCTTATTTAGGGGAAGGGAAAAGGGATTTGGAGTTGTGTTTTTTTAGGGACAGTGGTTTTGTTAGTTTTCTCCCAAAAATGTTCAATTCATGACATTAAAATCTGGTACAAGTTGTGTATTGCTTTATCATACTCACAACATATATATATATATATATATATATATATTTTAACAATCTTATAATTTGACCGGAGTCAGAAGAATGCAGGAATAGCTGTGAATTATAATGTGTGTGCAGGTTTACCGCTGTTTAAATTAGTTTTTGGGGTATTCTCTTTAATATGGTTCTACAATGCATGCTCCGTCAATGGTTACTCTGCAGTCATTACCTAACATCAGTAAATTAAATTGCTAGCTTCAACCCACTTCTATACCTAATAGTATATAAAACCCAGTCGCATCCCTAACCTTTCATTTTTGATGAAATAAATCCTGGAGCAATCATTTTTCTCCCTCCTGCAGCTAATCAAGATGACTCTAATGACCTGAAAGCCAAGAACATCCACCAGACAGAGCTTGTATCTGATCTCAGAGAAGGCATCCAACAGATCGGAAGACACTTCCAAGCCATCGACCCCAAGAATGCAAAAATAGTAAGTAAACTCATCTCTTTCAGCCTAGCTAAAACCCATGTCTATACTTTGCAATGAAGAAGTGTATTGTTGTGTCCACCTTGCTTTAAAGCCTATCTGCACTAGTATGGCAAAGAGGGATTAGACCTCCCTGCCTGGTCACTGGCAGGTGGTTATCTAATCAAATCAGCTTTTAATTAACATAAGAAAAAGGGGACCATGGGGGATCAACTATCGCTTAGGCATTGTTGGCTGTATAGAGTGTGCAAGTAGCTACAAGTAGTGCAGTTCCGCTTTAAGAATTAGGAAGGAATCTTAACTTTGATTGTTTTACTTTAGTTTTAAGTATTATATGTAGGCTCACATATATTCGTTATTAAGCACTCACAAACATACACACACATACCTTCTCACCATGATTTTTTGGGGTAGCTCAAATACTTTGTGTAAGTGTACTCACCTGAAATCTCACTTTCAATGCAATTTGTGTGTAGATGGAAATATATTTTATCATGCACAAAGTCCAAACCCAGGGGGTCATTGATGTTTTTTGTTTGTCTCTGCTCCCTAGCTTTATGCATGTATGTGTGTATGGCACTGACAAATCTATTCCCAATGACTTTTACAATAAGCCTCCCAGGCTCCTAGTTTTCTTCTAGATACAGAGGGCTGTGATTTAATGGAAGTTCACCCACAGTGTACCGACACATCACATAGACCACAAACCCACTAACCCCCTTTTGACAGAGCTCTGTGTCTTGCTCTAAACATAATGAGCATGAATTTGCAACCAAACTCCCTGAAACAACCTTTTAACTCCTGAAAATTCCTGAAAATATTGGTGTTCACATTACTCCCTGAAATGCCTGAAATAAAATCAAACAAAGAAGCAAATGCCAAATACTACCTGCACACTCTTACCTGCTGCCCACCAGCAAAAATATGGGTCTAGCGCCCTCACATGTCCATAATCTTGATTCTTGATTCAAACATACTTTGGACAGTTTTGTTTTTGTTTGTACCTGGCTGAAACTGTGCAAAGTAGTAGGCAATTTCTATTCAGTTTCTATTTTCTATCACTAAGTTAATTAAAAATTAATAAATATTTAATCAATAATCGTCTATTCTTGTGTAGGGCATATCATGTAGATGTATTTAGCAATATCTCTATGGACTTCTATAGAGCTTTGGATCATTAATCTGGCTCTAGCCAAGCTGCTGCCATAATTATGCTTTCAAAAAGCTTCTTCCTCTCCGTACCCACCTGGTTTGAGTGTGGAAAATGTAATTTTACGTCTCGCCAAAGGATGTGTGTCCTATACCATTTATTGTGACTGGTGCACTAGACCATGTGGCCTGTAGGTTTTAATAGATCAACTAATCTGTCTGATGTGTTTTGTTTTGAACAGGGTTTGATACCCGACTACTCTCTTGAGAGCCATCAGAAAGACCATGAACAGTTTGTAAACATCACAAGAACAAGGAAAAGAAGGGCCAAAGCACTGCTTGACTTTGAGAGGCACGATGACGATGAGTTAGGCTTCAGGAAAAATGACATCATCACAGTAAGTATTATTTCTCTGAGTTTGTCTACCTCTTTTTCTTCCTCTGACTCTCTTTCTCTCCTTTTCTCCCTCTGTCCTTCTCTCTCTTTCTCTCTGTCTCTCTGTCACTTTCTCTGTCTCTCTGTCACTTTCTCTGTCTCTCTTTCTTTCTATTTTTTCCTTTCTCCCCCACTACCTCTCTCTCTCTCCACTGGCTTATCAATTATTGTATTTATGTTTTTCAACACAGCTTAAGGGTAAATATGTTGGCCTTGATATGACTAATAATGTCAGAAAATATTTGAAAATGAAAGAGCATAGATAAAAGCTGGAGGAGTACGACTTGAATATTGCTTAAAATTATGGCTCAAGAAAATTACTTTATTCAAGATTCAGAGTTCAAGGTTCACAGTATCTTTATCCTGAGTTTTTTTACTATGGCATCATGAAGAGAAGTCACCAATTTCTTTCTCAATAATATCAATTATATTTGTTTTCTGCATAGATCATTTCTCAGAAAGATGAGCATTGCTGGGTTGGAGAACTGAACGGTCTTAGAGGATGGTTTCCAGCAAAGTTTGTAGAGATCTTAGATGAGAGGAGTAAGCAGTACACCAGCGCAGGCGACGATGCCGTCACAGAAACTATCACAGACCTAGTCAGAGGATCGTAAGTAACTAATAGTAGCTGGTATCAGTAATAATGATGAAAAGACTGTTAGAGACAGATGAGGGAGAGGGCAGTGTGAGTGAGAAGGAGAGAGAGAGAAAAAGTTTGTAGAGATCTTGGATGAGAGGAGTAAGCAGTACACCAGCGCAGGTGATGATGCCGTCACAGAAACTATCACTGACTTAGTCAGAGGATCGTAAGTAACTAACTGTAGCTAATATCAGTAACAATGATGAAAAGACTGTTAGAGACATATGAGAGAGAGAGAGAGGAGAGGGGGAGAAAATTTGTAGAGATCTTAGATGAGAGGAGTAAACAGTACACCAGCGCAGGTGATGATGCCGTCTCAGAAACTATCACTGACTTAGTCAGAGGATCATAAGTAACTAGTGTGTTGGAATTATATGAGAGAAATGGCTTTCAAGAGAGATGAGGAAAGGGAAAGAGAAAGAGAGAGACAAAGAGAGTATTGGGAGTTTGTAGAGATCTTAGATGAGAGGAGTAAACAGTACACCAGAGGGTCGTCAGTAATGAATGTATTTGAATCAAAGATGAAAGTCTTTTCCGAGAGACTGTTAATAAAATTTTGATCAAGACATGAAGTAGAAGTTTGCTTTTTGATGAATAGTACTTAATTTGGAATTCACTTTGAATATATTTTTCATCTTAACTTTCTTTATATGAATCAACTATTTCAGCAACAGACGAATGTACACCGAAACCAGCATAAAAGAGTATTTGATTATTGATTGATTTTATTTCATTATCAATGCTAACAGGTGAATGAATTTGTTCTTGCATTTCCAGGTTATGTCCTGCTCTGAAGTCTGTATTTGAGCATGGTTTGAAGCAGCCTACAATCCTAGGAGCAACATACCACCCATGGCATTTCATTGAAGAGGTAAGCCCTCACATCCATGATAAACGATACAGTGAAACCTGCCTTCTTAACCACCTGTATAGAAAGACCACCTGTCTATAAACACCCCAGTTTATGTTTCCCTTGAGCATATTTAAATTGTGCAGAGGCTGCTTGGAAAAACTTTTTTTTTTTTTTTTTTTAAAGCAAAACAAAATTAACCTGAACTCAACTGATAAAGTAGTTTATTTATACATATAATCGTATTTTTATCATACATTGGATTTTTTTTTATCCCCCCCCCCCTTCCCCCAATGTAAAATAGTTCATTTTACATTTCATTCAAGTGAGATATATATTAGTAGTCATAACTTATGTAAATTGCAGAGAGAACATGCATAGCATCATAAAAGCCTGATACACATAAAGCTCTCCTGTCTATCTAAAAAAACAAATAAAAACAAAAAACATCAACAATAAAGCTCTACTGCCCATTATCTCTATGAATATAAGTAGTTCACGCAGCTACTCTATACACTGTAATGAATACATGTTGATGGGATTGAGCTCCCTATTTATCAAACCCGGTTATTGTTGATGCGACCTTGCAAACTGTTTTGTAATACTGGAGAAAGACCGCACACAATGGTGTCGGAATAAAGGAAACCCCCGCTCTCCCTTAAAATGTCAATATGGTGAACAAAAGGCATGCGGGCACATGTGACTCATACCTTTGTGTGGTATCAGAAAGCAATAAAAAGGGAGAAGAGATAAATACGGGGCCCTTTATTGAGCGAGGCCGGCCGGGAAGAGTTGATAATAATAAGGTCATGATATCGCTTGTTTGTGTGCACCTAGTCTCTCCATCTCTGTATTTTCTGCCAATTCTGCGAGTGTGTTTGGCATTTGATTTGTTGTGAAAACTCTTAATCTGACTTTTTCTGTCTATTTATTCCTGTTGTTTGTCTCACACAGTTTGTCTTTTTATTTCTGTTTCTCTATCATCTCACTCTCCCCCTTTCCTCACTCCTCTTTTCTAACTCCCACTTCCCTTTCCCTCTCTCAATTTTTGTTGTTGTTGCTCTCCCTCTATTTTCTGTCCATGGATTCTCTTCCCCCCCCCCCCTCCCTCCCTCCCTCCCCCGTACTCTCTTTGGTAGGGGTAATGTGTCAGATGGAGCCTTGAAGAAGAAAAGTTTACCGGAAATGCGTATTGCCCCATAAAAACTAAACTAAACAAAACATTAACAAAAACAGCCTGATTCTCTTTTTTTTATAAATCTAGGTTGTTGATCAACTCAAAATGAAGGCATACAAAGTTAGTGTAAAAACAAGTGGAAGAAAATCAATATATTCAAAGAACAAAGCCTTGAAAAGGGATTAAGTGAAGTCTCTATTATAATGACTTGTGACATGTAAATACCGGTAGGGGAAAACACTGGTGAAGGTGATACACTTTAAAACATCAATCAGGCACGTTCGATATTGAAAGATTACTTTGTACTTTGTCGGCATATGTATGTAATATAGAAGTATTTCAAACAACAGTGTGAAATAATAAAAGTTTGAGAAACCTGTCATAAACTATAACACTAATACTAGTTCAAAAATATAGTCTCAAACTATCATTCTTTAGACCGGTAACATTGCCTCGGATTCTGAAATAAAATCCCGGATTTAGCTCATGCTGCAATGATAATTATAAACTTTTAGCTCAGTCAGGAATCCCATGACTTTTACAAGCCGATCTCCTGTCCGATTATCAAGATATTTATGATTGGAAATCGATTTTTTTTTTTTTTCTTTTTTTTTTTTCTTTTCTTTTTTCCAACGGTTTTTATAACACTACAGTCTATTGAGGGAAATGAGTGATGTAAATCAGGTCACTCAAAGATTTTTATTTTTTTGAGGCACTTCATGATCATTTTGAAGGACAATTTTTATAGGGCTTCAATGTTACACCATATCAAAGACACTGATAACAAGCACGGGCGTGCATCTCAGATTTAACATAGTTAAACGATGCCTTTAAGCGAACCTCTTATCCTTGTCTCAGCTAACTAGCCAGCTGATTTACAGATGCCCTTTTTGAGCTCTGTCCAAATTATCGATTTTTATTGTCCTCATTAAGCCCTTCCTTCTCGTAGAATCAATATAGTTTTGTCGAGGGGATATGATCAAGGTGTTCCTTGTGTACATTGGCTGAGCCTAGAAGGCCATGTGTCTTACCACTGTGTGCCCATCCTTGTTAACACAAGACAATATAAAGTGGACACTTTTATACCATAGTATTAACTATTGACACCCGTCAACATAGCCAAGGTACGCTCATCTCACGTTCCTTAATATTTGTCATACCATTGCCGTACTAGATTGTATGTATATTGCTGGGTGCGTAGGATAGTGAGTTTCAAGGTTAGGTTTATAGTTTAATATAAAATGAAAAAGGTGATCCAAAACAGGGAGCCTATGGTGGTTCTGTGAGACAAAGTTCCTGCTAATATTTCCACTAAGATATATCATTGATTGTTATCGAGTAAATTGTGTTTTGTCTGGATTGAAGGACAGATGATAAAAGAAATAAATATGGAGGAGCAATAGGGGTTGGTATTGGTCTGAAACCACCCCCCTACCCCCCGTGCCATATTTTTCAAGTTTCGAGATCCTTGCTCTATCTACCAAGTCATGATTAAATGCCTAACAGGACCCGATATTATGATTTGCACCAAAAACCTTGTTAAAATGCTTTAATAAATTCAATAGTTTTCTTGAGTATAGCTTTGATTGTAAATAACCTAGACTCTGGGTATCACTTTAAAGTTTGAGGTACCCTGGGTTGCTTTTATGAATAAATTATGAAAATTGTTTTCCAGGTTTCTACCGTGCATGCACATACAGTACAAAAATGCATAATAGATATGGGTGGACAGAAAAGAACTCTTAGTTTTGTGCCATTGTACAATTCTTTCATTGAAGCACTCTTTGATGACGGAGCACAACATTATCAAACAATGCAGTCTAAAAATCTGTTTTCGTCAATGCACTACATAAATATACAATCAAGATTGCAATACACATACATGTATAATTATATTTGCATTTGCCCACCCTCGCCTTTTTTTTTGGGGGGGGGGGAGGGGAGGTTCAAAGGAGGGGGCCTTCTAAGGATTTGCCATTAAAAACAGATCAGGAAAATGGTCCGAGAATGATTGGAAAGTGTTAGTGTCCCAAATGCATGTGTTCGTCTGCCACCTTCTCTGTTTTTGTTTTTCCATATGTTATCTTTTTTTATTTTACTTCTTGTAGTTTATGGTCATGTTTTGGGGGTGTTTTTTTGTTGTTGTTGAAAGAAGTACAGGGTGTATAATGAATATACTTGTTTTGCTTCGTATAAATTTTTCACATTGTTTTTGTCTTTGTAGGCAAGTGCCAAGGAGGTTGAGCGAGACTTTGAATCTGTGTACTCTAGACTGGTGCTTTGTAAGACATATAGGTAAATAGCATTTTATATTTCAAATAATTATTTTGTTAAGCAAATGAAGATTAGAACTTCTTCATGAGTTGAACTACATGTACATATGTACATATCGAGAATTCTCTTTTTATATTTAAACTGATGCAGAATGATTCTGATATTCATTTGATATTTTCTCGGCATATATTATAGCAGAACCAATGAGGATTAAGAGAGTAGTATACACATTTTTTCAGTAATGGAAGGGTCGTTTATTTTATGTTTCTGCATGAATAAAAAGTTGTACATTCTTTCTCTTAACAACCACTAAAGCAACACATTTTTCCATTTTAAAATGTCCCAGTGAAATTCATCTTTATAACCCTTACCATCTCTTATTGTAATCATCAAACATGAGTTTGAAACAAATTTGTATTATTTATTCATATTTCCTTTTGATAGATTGGATGAAGATGGTAAGGTATTAACACCAGAAGAGCTTCTCTACCGGTCAGTCCAGGCGGTCAATCTAACCCATGATGTAGCTCATGCACAGATGGACGTCAAGTTCAGATCATTGGCTTGTCTAGGCCTCAAGTAAGTCTCAATTGTCTTGAAATGTGCTATTTAAAGCAATTGGATTCTTACGTTATCCTTGCAGGCCTTAGATGCATGGCTTATATGTAATTGATTATGCTGATCTTCCAGGATCGATATAGATAATGAAAGATGTCATCAACATTTTGTTCAAGACCAATAACATTCTAAAATGAAATCCAAAAATACCTGTTAATATAGGACCCAATATCCAGATATGATTGCAATCCATAGTTCTGTCAATTAAGGGGAATCATGCAATATGCATTTAAAATAATTTGCTTAACAGGACACTCATGTAACTCTAAAGTTTGTCTACCTATCCTTTTTTCCCTTCATGATAACTGTTTTGTTTGTTGTATGCTATAATTTGGTATAATATTTTTTCCTTTCAATCTTCATCTTCACTCAATTTGTTAGTATATGAGTATATTTGTCTTCAGCTAGGAGTAGATCTGTGCTGTAAATCTTCTGTTCCTTCTCTCCTCCAGTGAACAAGTCCTCCACCTCTGGCTAGAAACCCTGTGCTCCTGCGACAAGATCGTTGAGAAGTGGTACCACCCGTGGTCCTTCCTGCGTAGCCCTGGCTGGGTCCAGATCAAGTGCGAGCTTAGGGTCCTCTCAAACTTTGCCTTCAACCTCTCACAGGACTGGGAGCTGCCAATCAAGAAAGATGTAAGTGGATGATGGGTTGCTATGGTTACAGCTTTGATGCGGGATGGTGGCGTGTGTGATGGAGTGATCTGGATGAATCTGGGTGTTTTTCAGAGTGAAGAGAGTGAGAGAGAGAGAGAGAGAGAGAAGGAAGGGGAGAGAGTAAGAAAGAAGGAAGAAAGGAAGGAGAGAAGGAGAGAGAGAGAGAGAGAGAGAGAGAGAGAGAGAGAGGAGTGAGAGAGGAAGAAGGTAGAGAGAGAGAGAGAGAAAGAGAGAAAGAGAAGGAGAGAGAGAGAAGGGAGAGAGAGAGAGAGGGGGAGAGAGAGAGGAAGAAGGTAGAGAGAGAGAGAGATTAGAAAGAACGAGAGGGGGAAAGATAGAACAAACATGTTTTGGTTCTAGTTACAGTACGTTGAAATACCACCTAGATTGATACTGTCAAGTGAGAGTGTTACTGGTACTAGAGAATTATTGATACAGATACAGACAAAGCCAGGGAGAGAGAGTTCAAAGGAAAAGGAGAGATAAGTATAGATGGCAGTTGATAGTGGAGGAACAACGTTTTAAATGACATGGAAAGATTATATTTTCCATTAGAGTCGGTTAAATGTAAAGTGCTCATAATCAAAATGATTTCATCTCGTTGATTGCTCAACAGACATGGGGAAGAGCCGTGAATACTCCACAGGTAAATATCAAAACAATGGCTTCAAGTATAATCAAAAACAATAACAAGCTTGCTATGCATGTACAATGCATCAGAGAAATGCATGTTTTGCTTAATATGCAAGCATGGGAAAGTTGCATGTTCTGCTTTGGGCAGTGGATTTTTTTTAAATTTTGAATTCATCATGTAATATTTAACATCACATTGCTTTTATTTGGTGGAGAGGATTTTCTTACTCCACTCAATTTTATTTCAGGCATGATTTTCTGTTCCTTCTTGGAGGTTTTTTTATTTTCCCCATATATCTTGCATGGCTTTAGCTGCAGTGTGATAGTTATTATTGAAGAATGGTTCCAGAAACACATATGGTTAGAAATGTAGTTATCATACCCTATGGTGTTCTCAAGCTTCCTGTAGTTTGCTATGTAATTTATTTTTGCTTCTATTACTGCTGATATTAAGACTACCACTACCATATTTATACCAAAAAAATGATGTTTGTAATATTTGCAAATACATTACCACTTTCTCATTTCTTAAAGAATGACATCAGAGAGAGTTTTCAGGTAAAAGGAGGAACTTAGATGCATTTTGGCTTGGTTTTGCTTTTTGGAGAAGACCCATTTAATTTATTAACTCTAATTCATGTGTTGAAAAAATATATACTGCTCAGCTGCATGTAAAGCTTGAAAGGTTATGGGATGCTTTTTATTTACTATTTGATTATTTTGATTATTTTGATCATATCCTTTTATTTTATCATGTTTTTATTTGCTCATCCAAGGTTTTAATCCACAGTGCTTCATATAAATTATATAATTATTTTCTACAAGCCACCCTATCAAGCTTGTTTAAGTTTATACATTATATTTCCATCTTTTCTAATTGCAGGTTTAATATTGATTAATAATCTCTTTGGCACAAATCCTCAAAGGAGGCTTAAATTTAACCCACGGTTTAAATCTTCATTTACATAACCAATGGTATAATATTAGTGCAAAATAAGCGTGACACAGTCAGAGGTCCAATATTAGACGTGCGCAAGGCAAGGTAGGCTTCAATTGCGCTAATTTTAAACCTTGGGTTACGTAAATGAGGGTTTAAACCATGGGTTAAATTTAAACCTTTTTGAATTCAGGCCTTTATGTCTGCCAATTGTTCTTTCCTCCTTAACAAATTCTCTAGGTGTTTAATCATATCATCTGGAATCTTAACTACATTTAGTCCCACATGATATATGTTTTGTCCCCATCTCCAAAATGTATTGACATCATTGTCCGCAAATATGAATGCCTTTTTATTTGCAGGTACTAACCTATTAACCTCTTGTTGCACAAGTATGATTTTCATTTGATTGAATTCTGCATCATTGATTTATATGACATGTTATGATTCATATGTCTGTGGGGGTTATGCTTCAGAGATGCAGTGTCATTCACTGTTCAGGGAAAACAGATGTGCATGCTATTTATATCCACTAAATAGGACAATGGGGCGAATGCCATTGTTTACTTGGTTTTATGAGGGTGTACTAAAATATCATCTGCAAATTGTGAACTACATATTGACGTGATGCTCAATGAATGGGAACAATCTTGTTTTCTAACCATGTATTCATATCATATTTCAGATTGTTCATTAAATGGTAAATTTACTCTGGCTTTTGGTGAAGGCCCTTGATTGGATCTATGGATTATTATTAATCCAAAATATACATTCAAATTATTTCAGTAAGGAATTCTAGATTGGGAAGAACCTTTTATTTAGAGGTTCTTGTTCTTTGCTTTTGGAAGGTATAAAAGGGCTATATGGGCTGATTGTAAATATCTTTTCACCACTGTACCCCTACTGCACTTATTTGGTTAACTATGGCTATATGGTTAACAAATGGTTGTACGGTTAAGTTATCACATTGTTTAATAATTCATATTGGTGTATTTGGTAACTCTAAACAAAACTCTCTGTATCTCATTTTCTCTCTCTCTCTCTCTCTCTCTCTCGGTCTCACTCACTCTCTCGGTCTCACTCTCTTTCTCTCTCTCGGTCTCACTCTCTCTTTCTCTCTCTCTCACTCTCCCCCCCTCTCTCTCTCTCTCTCTCTCTCTCTCTCCCTCCCTCTCTCTCTCTCTCTGTCTCTCTCTCTCTCTCTCTCCCCACATTCTTTTCACACCATTCCTTTGTCTCGTAGAGCCAAAAGTCGTTAAAAGACAGCGTGCAAGACATGCTCATCAAGCACCATCTCTTCAGCTGGGACCTCTAACTTCTAACCTTTGACCTTTGGTTGACCCATGACCTCTGACCTTGGATGGGGGTCAATCATTGCACATCCGGAAGCTCACTGCACCCTCCTGATTGGATTCTTTTAGGTTCATTAATTCATCTGTGGATTGTAAGGTTGATTAACTTTTAAGTTATTACAGATATATTGTTAGTAGCATGCAAGAAGTCGTGGGACTTTATTCTTATGGTACTCTCATATGTCATAACCTCATTGAATGAATCCTTCTTTTATGGTTACTTTGTTTTACTCTAACTTGACATCGCACTAATGTAGTATTTATATGGTGACCAAGGTCCATGTGGACATTGCACATGTATGTCAGAGTTAAATCCTCAATTATGTGCACTTCATGTATTTCATGACGGCGTAAAGAGGCTCATCGTTTTCTGCCAAGAGGTTATGAAAAATTAAAGGAAAATGCCAATTTCACTGATGTGACAAACATGTTTTGATGTTCGATATCAATTGTGTGCTATTCCCGAGGGTGACAGTGCTAGGCTCAGGTCATCTCACTTTTGCTGAACAATTTATTTGTACGATTCACAGGGGAATATTCAAGCATGAAAACAAATGATCCGTCTTTAGAATGTCAGCGTGTAGGAATTTTAACCCGGGAAGAAGAAAGTGTGTTGAACCCTGCCTACAATAGAACATTCCTGTATCATTGGTATTGTAGATTCAGTATGATCATTTCTTTTAATAGTCCCAGCTGTTTGTTTCCTTGTGGGGATGTTGGACCCCGCCCTTCTTCCTGACACAAAAAAGTTTGTTGATCCCAATATTAAAGCTCTGATTGCTTGTATGAAGTTATTATGTAAACACAAAGATAGTCATGACCCAAAATGGAACATGGAACGCTCTGCAAACATATGACTATTTGTGTAAGATGATCAGTCAAATCAAATTTAATACCTCAGTCAGACTGCTAGATCGACTCCATACCAACTCCAAACCGACCGATTCTTTGCCATTGGAGGTAACATCATTGTTTGATCGGTCTGTTCTCGGTCTGTCATTGGTTTGGTAGGTGTGACTGTGGTATTAGGACACATGCCAACAGAATGGACTGTGCACTCAGTACAAGTGATGTCAGGCTTTTGGAATGTTTTATTTTCGGTTCACGTGGATTGCAATGTGCAATTTGAATTCTCATAGTCGATGCTAGTGAGCAAATTTGTCATATAAATAATTTCATAGTACAATCTGTATTAAGTGATTACAGGCTTTTGTATGTATTTAATGATAGATGTTTCAAGAAAAAATTCTGAAAAGGAAGAATTTCAAGGATAAGTTATACTGAGGTTGGAAATATATACAAAGAGGGTTTCTATCTACACTTTGAAGTTCAAGAAAGATAAAGATCTCCACTCAATACAAGTTGTTTTCATCAGGAATGGTTTTATATCCTTGGAAATTCCTGTTTAAAATATTATCAAACATCCTCAAAGTCAATACCGGCCCTACTCACACAAACGAGACCACCAAAAGACCGAACAAGAATTAACCACAAATGCCCAAGAATCAGTCAGTTTAGAGTCGGTTTTTGGTGGTCTGACTGAGGCACAAGGCTGGTAATATATACTGGATAGTTTGCAAGAAGTTTTCCAGCTTGAATGAACAGATCTTGCACAAAACACTTGTTGTACATGTGACCAAACTCATGTAGTAGAGTGTAGGGATATCCCAGACCCTGATGTCATTTCTACACACACACACACACACACACACACATGTTTGTTGAATTATCAAGGCTCTCCATACCCAGAGGGCAGGGAGAATCGGATAGAAAGGGGAGAGTACTGTCCAGCCAGCCAATCAGAATGCTGTGTTTAGAAAGAGGGCGGAGTCTGCTTGTGGTGGCCCCTCCCATCTCAGTGGGCTGCATTCTAGGAAATGCACATGAGGAAAGACAAAAAGAGAGAGAGAGAGCTAAAAATAGCACCCCTAACATTTTGATTAAGATTAAGGCCAAAACATTAACTACATAGTGTATGGAAACAGCACACTGTACAAGGAACATATTAAATCTGCCTTAGAGGCAAAAGAGCTGTAACTTAGAAGAAGATGTTAAGTTAACATACATGTCGAGTTCATGCCTTTTGGGTCACAGCAGACAAATTGCTAATATGTATGGTATTAACATGAACATCCTGGAGCTTGCCGAAAGAAAATTATTACTTTATTTTCAATCAGTTATATAAATAGCTGGACCACACCCCTTTGTTTTTTCTTATCTCCCAGATGAGTCAGTTTGTTTCGGTACTGTTTGTCTGGATTACCTTAACCTCATGGAACTTTGTTTTGTCTCAATTTTTTCAAGTTCAATATTCATCAAACCATGATGCTAGGTCTGACAATCAAATTGAAAGCTTCCTTTTCTTTCCTTTCAAGTGTGTGGTTAGAGAGAGATCTTCTAGTCCAAAAGTGGAGGATGAAGTCCATGGCAACTTGCCAAGAAATTAATTTGCCACTTTATGAAACCTCAAATTACTATGCCATGAGCGTTTACGAAATATGCCATTAAGAAAACCACAGTATTGCCTGCCAGTCAATGCCATGAAGCTTATTTAGGTTTTAGTCCATTCACAACATTACTAGTTGTAGCAGCTGAAAGTTATTACCAGTTTTGCTTTGGCATGGTGCCATGTGCTCAAAGCTGGTGACCAGTTAATGAATCATAACAAATGGATTTGCCATTTTGTAAATAAATCACTCAAACTTCATTTTGTGTGATTTTAATGAGTGAGGTAGAAGAGGGTGTTAGCCGTATTTAGTTTGCAGTTTTAATCAATCTCTGTTTTGTGGTTTTATGATTATATGTACATGTTCATTAGGTTTTGCAGTTGAACGGTTGGTCCCTTTCTAATTGTAATTGAAATGCCAAATCGAAGGGCAAGGACCTTTAGTATTTATGTTTGAGTTTGCCACCCAAAATATTACTTGTAGTCTTTGGGAAAGTATGTATGTCAATCACAAGTCCTGATCTTTTTTCAAGTTACTGTTTTACTTTTTTGTTCACATTTATTTAATGGATTGTTGGTATATTTGTTTATATACTTGCAATGAAATTAATCCATATTTGAAGTTTGGCTTACTCTTTAGAGATGTTTTTTCCCTGCTGATTGTACTTACCGGTATGAGCATCTTTTCCAAGGTTTTTGTCTCTATCATATTATTTAACTTCATTTAGATAAAATTTGATTTAAAACAAAATTGTTCCAGATTTTTGTGTTACTGCCAAAGAAATTGTTCAGGGAGGGCAGAATTATGCTGTGTAGAATATGTGCAATGTTAACATGACAATTAAAAGGTTTTTGTTTATTGCCAAGTTTTGTATTACTGTTTATGATTAGAAAGAATGATTTATTTAGCTGTTAGTTTTAAGCGATTACCATTATTTTGTGAGTTAAATTTGATTTAATTTAAGTTATGTGTCTGAAATATTTTGTTTGATTTGCCTCATTTGCTGGAGTTTTTTTCGTCGGTGGATATGTTCTATTTTCTGATTAAATTGAGTCCATATCTCATTTGTTGTGTATTTTCCATAACACATTATGACATATGCAGTGCAGCTCTGGAAGTTTTAACTTACTTTTGCATTGTATCACAGTGCAGGGTAGCGTGACCTTATTCAGTAGTGCATTGTGTACAAAACAAAAAGTTTGAGTCCATTGTTTGAGCCAATCTATTGTGCACCCTTATATGATATTGCATACTGCTCTACTTATGCTTACTGGTGAGGCACTATGCATGTACAGCATGGGGCTGTCAGTACATGTTTATAAACAGCACTTGCTCATTCAGTTCTACAAACAATTTTTCATTTTCCAACATAATGATTTTTAAGATTATGTTAAATATCTTGATTCTAACATACATGTTTAAGCACCTTGGAAAGTCTCTTAGTACATTTGTTATTTATTTTCTTAATCACAAACAAAATATGATTAATCCATCTATGTCCAAAAATTGAATAATATTGTGAATCATATAATTTAACAGTGAATGTCAACACATGGATTTCTTGCTGGTGTGATGTTATTAATAGTTTAGCACTTGACTTGAATTGGATCATTTAGAGATACTCATATTAAGTATACAATTACAGTATGGATACCCATACATGTACATCTGCACACTAACATGTAAACAAATGTACTATTATTGTTTATGACTTAGTATGTAACACTTGTATTCATTAGGTTATGATCACATATTCCATTCAACACTTTCCATTCCTAAAGCATATTATTACTTGTATTCATTTGAGGTATGATCACACATCTTATCTAACTTTTCCATCCTTATGGTGTATTTATCTTTGTATTCATCTTTGTATTCAATGTGTAATGCATTCTTTCAGCCATTCTCTCATTCATTCATTCATTCATTCGTTCGTGCACTCATTCATTCATTTGTTCGTTCTTTCACTCATTCTTGTATATTCCTTCACTCCAGCATGCATACGTTTTATCAACATGTTTACTCCTTTGGTATCGTGCATCATTGTGTAGTAATTCTTTTTGACTTACAAACTATCCTTTCAAATTCCACTGTCCTAATTTTCTTTCATGTTATGTCATATGTGTGCTAGATAACAGTGCCTAACCCAATTAAATGGGCAAAGAGCTTTGATGGGATTGTACAAGGCCAGTAACTTAAGTGTATCGTCTTGTAAAATCACTATTGTGAATATCAAGACATGCATTTAAATATGTATTTATCCAAAAGCTATATATATATATATATATGTAAATTAAAAGTAGTACTGTTTTGTCTTCAATTTGAATTCTTTCGGAGAGGGATAAATGAATCATTCCAATAGTTCAGTACTTAGAGTTATAACTATATATGTTTAGCATCAAATTCAATCATTGTAATTGGCAAGCATTCCACAAAGATATGTTTACAGTGTTGTGGTCAGATTTTCTTTCATATAATGTGTGCAATCTTCTATCCCAAATTGTCTATTCTTCAAACACATATATTCCCATATTGAAATATACCTATTTATTATACCTATGAATTGGTTAAGTGATTTATTATGTAGATTTTGTTTTAAATATATCTTTAATAAAGATATAATTTTTTGGTTATATCAAACTTACTCAAAATCAAATAAGGAGATTGCAATATTGATTTTATTTTGAAAGCTTGTTGTGGGAACGTACAAAAACAACAAAACTATGTTGCTTCATCAAAGAACTAGTTTGAATAATTACAATGGTCTTTATTGGGTATCAAAGATGCAAGTACATGTACTTCCAATATTACTATATGGAAGATGGATTAGGATTGGCTAATGCAGGTACAGATGTATTTCCATTGACGAATGAGATGTTTTCTTTCTTTGATCAGGAGAAGGTAGCTAATAGGGTGAATTTAAACACTTCGTCGACCTCGACATTTGTTTGTTAACCATTTTCCATCTTCATTCCTGTTTCTGTCTCCTTACTTACAGACATTGCCAGCCCTGAGAGCTAGTGTTCGTGACATGCTTATTAAATATCACCTCTTCAGTTGGGAACTGTGAGGGCGGTAGTTAAGTCACAGTAGGAATTGTTGCGTCAGTTATGAAAGTTATGGGAGATTCCTTAACCAACACTACTTATTATTGGGGTCAGAGTTATTGGAAAAATAGTATGTGGACGATTAATGTGATACATCTGTGGGTTAGTTCAAGGAGGCATTCTCCACAGTACATTTATTATTGCATATGCGGCTTATGAAGCGCAATGGCTCAGTGGTAGAGCAGTGGTATCGTAATCAGACGATCCCGGGTTCAAACCCAAGTCGATGCTTTATTGGGAAGGCATTAATCTTCATAACTAAGTCCCTTGGAGGAGGATATCATTCCTGACATTTTGTTTTTTATCCAAACATCAGTGTAAAAGGGGCAATAAATGTATTTGTGGGGTTGTAAAAGTTTGTAGGGTCTCTAATAAATTACTAGCAATACAAGGGTTGTTTGGGGGTTGGGTTTAGCTCAAATGTCAGGTAAAACTAATTACCCTCCACAGTGAAACCCGGTAGACACCCAGAAATAAACATAATTTGTATATATTCTCATTTATTTATCTCGCTTCTCTATTTCTTATTCAAAACATCTCATTTATTAAAGACTTGATGCTTATATTTAAAAAAGGAGTTCCAACTCTTTGGTTAGATAAAAAAAAAGGCTTGTTTTCTTTAAAGCTCTCACAGTTGAGTGGCTTCAAAAATGTACTTTATTAGCTATTTATCATATCCTGAAGCACACAAAACATAAACAAACATCCCAGTCTTCATTATTGTCCATGTACTTTACATACCACTCATTGTGTTTGACAACACTTTCTGGCTTCTTAATTTGTTTACCTCTTCTTTCTTTTCTGTTGAGTGTTTGTTTGACAATGTTTGTAGGATGATTTGTTTGCCATTTCTATCAGTGCTTTAGACTGGTTACGAGCAGAGTGTTGCAGCAAACGGTACTTAATCAAAATTAAATGTCCTAAGAATTTTAATGAACCCCTCGTAAGAATGGAGTTATCCAGAGGGTGGTTCACCCTTCTTTGTGTGTTCTCTATTGTGTTGTTGTAAACACCAGTGCACAGTGTAAATAACTTGTACCTTTTTTTCTTTCTATTCACTCCTCTGAGTTAGTGTGCTCTCTATTTCTTTAGTTTATGTTTTGTAAGTATATACACTGTTGTCCGTAAATTTGGAATAACTTTTCCTCCATCCTGAAATGATTGTGACGATATGGTTAATTCCTGATAGATAAAGTTAACATCTTGTTTTTGATAAGTCAACATAGGTTTGTTTTTTCTTGATAGATGAAGTTTATATCTTCTCAGAACATTTATCAGAATGTAAACGTACATTGTACATTGTAAAGCGCTTTGAGAGGGCCTTCGGTCCTGAAATGTGCTATAAAATAACGAACTATTTTATTATTATTATTATTATCGATTAAGCTTTATATTGGTCAATAAAGCACTGAGAAGGTGTAAACTTTATTTATCAAGAATGAATCAAATTTTCACTATCATTTCATGAAAAAAGGGTAAGAAAAATGAATATTTGAACTTCACGGGCAACAATGTAGATCAAATTCCTATTGGGAATTTTTGTCATGTTATTGATATTTATTGTGAAGAAAAACAAGAGGTGTATTATAAGTACTATGTTATCTGCATAGTACTAATAACTTAGTATTATGTTATTATCATTCCATTGTATCACAAACCCATGCAGTGGTCTGTTCTTAGTTCTTTCTGTTAATGTGCAATGTTGAGAATACTTCAGAAGAGTATCTGAAAAAAGACAAAACTATTGAAAGGTATTATGACTTAGAGATGTATATATATATTGTATATATTAATGTGTATCATCACTTGTAGACGAACCACAATTTTTGTGCATGAATTTAAAAGTTGAAGTTACATGGACATGGAGAATATAAGCATAGTCGTGGAGTGTTGTATGAATAGACACTATATTAATTTATGACAAGGGTGAATTAACATTTTGGCGCCTCATAAAGGGATCTGATATGGTAATGATCAAAAAGAAGATTGATAAAAAAAAGAGAAAGATATTATTTTCTTGTGACAGTAGTCAGTCTAGAATAAAGTCGATCTAACTGAAGACCAAACTGGTGTCTTTGTTTTTCATTGATGTATTGTGGGAATGTGTTTGTGTGTCAGTAAAAGAGAATAGGAGAATTTAGCTACATGAACTGTAAGAATAATGCAGTAGCAGATTTAAGGGGGGTGAACATATAAGGCCGCTACCCATTTATAAGCCCAATGTTCCAAGTAATGTACCTAGGTATCCAAGTATTCTAAAGAAAAATAATAAGCCCTCCTGAATTGCGTTCTTGTATCCCTCGTTAAACTATCCGATGCGAAAAGCACCCGACAATCCGTTTTTTTTTTTTTTTTAGGAGGGGGGGGGGGGGGCTGTTTTTGCTATGTTTTGTTCTGTTTTTATTTATTTCACATTATTTTTGCTGAACTTTTGAAGAGGGGGGGGGGGGGGCTGTAGCTACGCCCCTGAGTCTATCCCACAGCGTAATTCCACGTTGCCTGGCCAATTGATAGGCACAGTATGAGTCATACTGATCTCAAACATTCCACAGGTGCTACAGGTATTGACATAACACGCACCTGGATTTGGTTCTCAACTGGAAAACAAAATAGTTTTAATAAAAAACGAGAATTCCAGATCCTGTTTCTCAGTGTACATAGTGGTTACGTGCTTGGGAGAACGGAATAGTCTGCATTTTGATTTCTAGGGTTCCTATGATAATTTTCTGGTCCGAGCTGATATAAAAAGTGTCCATCCTCAAAACAACATTCATTTATCATCTATTGAAAAGGGCAAGAAAATCTTATATCCAGACGAATCAATCTAACATTATCTCATGTCCAATAAATATTTGGGAAAAAATAACCAAACATAGCCTCTTCTCTAAAGAAACGAAAATAGAAGTAGATGTACAATTTTGCTGTTGATTTAACTTTCTGGCCATCTTAATCTTAGAAAAAAGTTCGGTGGTTATAATGAAGACTTGAACCAGATAATACTCGAGAACACATGAGAACGACGTTTTTTTTGGTGAGGATAATTTGAAAGTGATGATGATAATGGCAACGATGATGATGGTGATTTTACAGAGTTGGATAGCAGTGGCAGATCCAGTATTTATGGGGCGGATCTACCACACAAGACAACGTGAGATGGAGTTTAAGCGTGCACCCCCTCCAATCATTGATTAAGATGACGAGGAAAATCTCCACAATACTAGCAAGTTACGGAGAGCTACAATAAACCAAACATGTTCATAGCAAAAGTGTTTGTAGCAAAAGTTTGTTGAACCTAGATTCATTCCCACCTCGATTGTGACGTACTGGGCTGATGACTTTCAGCTATAATCCTCATGGGAGTGATTGCACAAATACGGGGAGAGGAGAAGGATTTTGGGTATGTTGAGAACTTGTGAGACTGTGAAACAGTTGCGTCGAGGAGCAAGGGAGCACACCCCCCCCCCCCCAAATCGGGTGACGAAACGAAGAGAGCGAGAGAGAGAAAGAAAGAGAGAATGGGAAGGCAAGGTGAAAAGGAATATCTGCATCATCTCGCATTGCATCCACCTATTAGCAGTAACAGTGCCCCCTCCCATCCATGACATCAGTGCCCCCACAGTGTCTGGACCTTAGCTACGCCATGTTGGAGGGAGGGGGCTGATGTGATCTTAGTTAAGGCCAAGTTAGTAATGTCAAGTGTCGGAGCAATGAGGAAGCGCAAAGTCCCTCTGTCAATTTCTTGAAATGCGACAAGTCCCATGATTGAAAACTCAATTTGAAGATTTGGCAAGAGGTAGAGAAACAAATGAAATATAGCTTAGAGTCTGAAGAACATCTGGGCCCCGTCTTACAAAGACTTACGATTGATCCAATCAATCGCAAGTCCTTCAATCAATCGCAAGTTTGCAGTCTCTTATCTCTTATGTACATAGTTGCGATTGATATCAACCGCAAATAGGTTGCGATTGATATCAAATCTTTGCAAGACGGTGCCCTGTAATATCAACTATACACTAACAATGGGGGATTTGCGGGGGACGGGGTACACCAGCCAACGCCCCTTTATTAAAACAAATCTATGTGGCATACCTTAGTGCACCGACATTGCCCCTCGTACATGTAAATGTGCCCCTTTCAATTTTCCGACCAATATTCAGAATCCCCCCCCCCCCCATCTCCTCGCCAAATCCTTACTCCGCCCCTGTAAACTACCACGGTGGTTTTACTCGAACACATGAATCAAATTTGAAGATAAGATATATTCGCATGTGGCTGAACACAAACGTCATCAGTAAATATCATCTCGTATCTTAAAAGGGCAATAATCATGTACCAGTCCCTAGTGTGTCTCTGACCTGCCTCTGAACCACTATCCACCCCCAACCGTAAACCGTCACGTCCCTGTTCGAATTAAATTTAGACGGAGACCCATCACGGTCTATTTCCGTATTAGACATAAGGTACAACAACTACAGTTTGATCAAATCAACAAGTTGAATAGAACACCAGAAACAAAATGCAAAAATGGGGCACAATCCCATTCGGAAAAAAGCAGCGACAGGCTCGGCGTAAATTTTTGGCTTCCTTGAAATTTGAAAGCCTTTCCCGGTCATTCCGCTTCTTTAAAAAGAGTTTTGAAATGTCAGTGTTTGAAGAACTGGTTTAAACCGGTCTCTTAAGTTCATGCTGTATAATGGCTATTATTTAAGGCAACATACATTTACTTTTTTGAGAAACAGGGCGAAATACGATCTCATAAACAACTCGTATCTCAAACACATCTATAATTATTAACAATTATTTTGACGAATATAGGCCTAAATATGAACTTTGTTTGCATATCGTTACACAAATAACTACACACGAGCCTTCTCCCAAGAGAGAGAGAGAGGGGGGGGGGGGGAGAGAGAGAGAGAGAGAGAGAGAGAGAGAGAGGAAGGGTTGTTTGCGACCGAGAGCATTCATGATAATACATGTCATGAATAGCGTATTGTTCTGTTTACCAGGTCAGTGTCGTACCCCCGACACACCCCCCAACACACCTCCCAAAGGGAGAGACCATCGACCAATGACAAGTCAGATTCAATGGTATTATGCAAATGTCGAGAGGGAAGGGTATATATAGAGTACAAAACAAATCTATATATGCAAATGAGTGAAATTGACATCGATACCTATAGGGCATTGAAATTAAAACATTGATCGGTGCTGTCTCTCTCTCTCTCTCTCTCTCTCTCTCTTTCTCTGAGAGTTTTTCTCTCTATGTCTCTCTCTCTCTCTCTCTCTCTCTTTCTCTACGAGTCTCCCTCTCCCTCTCTCTCTCTCACTCTCTCTCTCTCTCTCTCTTCCTTTCTCTCTCACACTCTCTTGCTTTCTCTCTCTATTTGCATGTCTCCCCTCTCCCTCCCCGATGACAATGATAATTCTGAAAGCTCTATAGTTTCATGTCTGCTTAGTCAACCCTTCTCAAGTTATATCTAGCAATGCTCCTCGAAAAAAAAATAAAGAAGGAATAATCATTCCCTTCAACGAAACACGTTTAACTAATCTTCAATTGAGTTCTTTCTTTGAAGATACGTTTCTCATTAAAACCACTTCTCCAGAAACACTTTAGCTTGCTCAGTTACTTATAATAGGACATAACATTTTCTTAAAGTTCGGCAGACAATATAAATGGTCATTTGTTTTCCCCTTTCTATACGTTGATTTCCGTAAGTCACCATACAGTGTGTCAGGATGT